CAAGAAGACGCGGTCAGAAACATGGTGAAGAGCAGCCCCCGTGCGCGTGTTGCCGCCCTTATAGCTGAGTTCACGGATGGCGCGGATGGTGTCACCTCCAGAGCCGAGTGCATCCAGACCAAACTCTGTCCTGAGGGAAAGAAACGGGGCAGCGAAAGGGAGGGGTCGTGACCTCCTCCAGCCCTGGCCCCTGGGATGAGACCTCTCGAGAGTGCACTTGGTTTGAAGATCCCAGCCCTCTATCTACCATGGAAGCTTCCATATTAACAGACTCCTCGGGTGCCTCTCATTATAGCAGAACTGCTGAACTTCAGCAGTCCTTGAACTCTTGAGGCTCCCTGCCCAGAGAGGACAGAGTATCTGGTTAGACAAAAAAGTCTTTCTGGTGAGCAGAGAGCTGAAGGGGTCAGAGAGCCCGAGCAAGGAGACTCTAACCTGGATTCCCCATCTCTGTCCAGAGAAAACAGTCATCCTGTCTGTCCCCTCACCCTCACCTCTGCAGGACACTGCCTTAGAAGTGCTTTAGGACAGGAATAATCTTCCAGGTTTCCCTACGTCTCTCCAGAGGAGTTCTTGGCTAGGGTCTTTCTGGGTTCCCCAAAGCCGGTTTCTAATCTCTCTCATATCAGAGGAAGGGGTCTTGGGACCTACGGTCCTGGCCCCACGCCGGCTACTCACTGTGGGTCATCACTGTACTGCACTGTGGCAAATCGGACGCCCTGCGCACTGGCTGCCCCTGAGAAAGGTAGCACCAGCCCCTCCAGGAATCCTCGCACTTCGCGGAAGTTGCTGCGGCCAATGGATGAAGAGCCATCGAGTAAGAACACAATGTCAGCGGCGTAGAGGCGTGTGCAGGTCACTGAAGCGGGGAGGAGAGACCATGACCTTTCCTGGGAATCCAGCCACCCCCCTCTAGGCGCTGAGGTCACCCGGGACTCCGGACTGGGAGGACAGCAGGCCTCATTTGCGTATGCAAACGAAGCCCAGGTAGGCGTGTGCCTGCCAGCCTTGGCGGAAGCCGCAGTGGGCTTCTCAGAAGCTCCTGAGCCTCTCCGGAGGGCTGAAGCACAGTGGAGGAGTGTAAATTGCTAGCAAGGGTGTAACTCTGGGGCTGAAGTCAGTTTCGGAGGGACTGTTGCCGGGTGGCAGAGGGCAGGGGATTCAGCATGCATCTAGGAAGCTAGAATTTGGGTGCTAACGGGATAGGAGGCAATTTGGGGGGCAGAGTGGAATTCGGGGAGTCTGGGAAGAGTTAGAGGCATCCATGAAGAGTCTGGAGGAATCCTCGGTGGGAAGGTGTCAGGGATAAAGTTTGAGTGGATGCATGGGTGACGGGGGGCAGAGCCCCGGGAGGTGCCCACCTTTCTCTCTGGACTGGGCCCACACTCCAGGCGCCCCCACTAGGATCTCGGCAGTGCAGAGCGCAGCGACCAGGAGCCGCAGCCTCATCCTGGGCGACAGAAACCGTCAGGCAGGAACCCCACCTCTGTCCTTGGTCTCCTGAGCCCTTGGCGGGTGGAAACCCAGTGCCCCCCACCCCAAGTCCTAATCTTGCCTGCCCGTCAGCCTGCTCCCTCCGCAGCCGCAGCCAGTTCCAGTCCCGTCGGCCCAGAAGAGAAAAGTCCCGATCCCAGGAGGCGGAGCAGCAGGCGGGGACCAGGCGGTCCGCCCTCACTCCCCTCCCCAGAGGTCGCTTCCCCCACCCCACTTCTCCAGGACTTAAGATATGATGACGCACTCAACTACAAAGCCCTCTCCCAAGGCTTCTGGGAGTCATCCAGGTTTTTTGACAGACGCTGTGAGAGCACCCCAACCTCACTTAGGGTTATAGTTCTTGATTGTTCTTTAGCCAGAGTGACCAATGAAGTCATTGCTGCTCTCTGAAATGTGGACAGGTCCCTGAACACCATAGGGGTAGCAGCCTGATGTTTGGGCATATTGCAGCTGGAGCTGACTCACCCCCAACCCGTGGGGGGGTGCCCAGACAAAGCCTCAGGCCATAGGTCCTGACAAAAGCACATCATATGAATCAGCCTGCTTCTGTCTGGTGGACCTCCTGTGCCCCACCCTAACCTCTACGACAGGCAGAGCAGCCCCTAGCAAATGAGAGGCTCTGGGACTATCTTAGGGACCCCAAATCACACTGGGCTGGATCTAAGCAAGACATGCCTGCTTTGGAAGAGAGAACCTGTGTCATGCTTATTCATATTTGTCCATCCCAATGCTCTTCACTCCCTACCATGTCTTGAAGCAGTCCTAGACAGATGTCATCCAGCTGTGTTTGCAGAGAGGGAGGGCTGCCCCTTTGTGGAGGGATGGACCACCCATGTTTACAGCTCAGCTCTCAGGAATCAACCTAATGCCCATGTTCCCACTGGCAAGGCCTGCCCATGATTCAGGCCAGGTTCCCCCATCTGCTTGCCTTCATTGGGAATCCCCTCCTTCAACCTACTCTTGTAGACTTCTACTTAATTCCCTGACTAGGCCTAGGGCCATCCTATGACCACATCCTTGCCTCAAGATATCTAACTTTCCCCTTCCTAATTGAGCCCCTCGGTCCTTCCCTGTGGACAGGGGCTCCCAATCCCAGGTCAAGCCCACCTTCCTAGTGAGGTCTTTGGTTATACACATATGTTTGTTAGGTGGGTGACATCAAGAAGAGAGACATGCCTAAGAAAGCTAGCCCCCATCTGGTCCTTCTTCCTTACTCAAGTCTCTTATAGTTCAGCACAGCCCAGTAAGCCCATTTTCATTCACCATTGCTGCTGGGCGACTTCCAATATGCCTGGCCATGCAACCTTGGTCCCTTCAGATCCTCAGGCTAAATGGGGAGACAGGGCTAGATGGAATTTCTGTTCTGTTTCCCCTGGGCCTGGCCAGGGCTGAGAGTTTTCTCACATGGGCAAACCTCAGGGTACAGAGGACCATTCACCCCTCTTTCCCTGTTGTCAGGAAAGCTGGCTCTTCTGCTATCAGAGAAGACTCCCCCTCCCAGGACTATCCTGGGACGCAGAGCTGTCTTTACAGGCTCCAGAAACTTTTTCCGACATCAGGGTCTCCCAGCCCTAAAAGGTATGCTCTAGATAAGGTAGCAGAGAATCAGGTGTGTGCTCAGAGGCAACCCCTGCCCTAAGATCATTGCTACCCTGGCACAATGAAGGGTGAGTGACAGCAGGATAAAGATGGTATGCACAATATGCACATACATGTGTATGTGGGCCTGGCCTTTAGGGAAAGTAGGAGGTCCAACTTAGCATCAAGGAAAACCTCACTAGAACTGAAACGCCCCTCAACTACAGGCTCAGTGTGGGGCCAAAGGAGGCTACTGAAAAGATAGGAGGCTGGGGGACGACTAGGTCTACAGCAAGAACAGGGCTGCAGCACCCCGACAGGCTCGCAGCTTTAGGTACAGTGCTGGAGACCTGTATGCACCTGCAGCTCTCCCACCCGACGATGGAACCTCCAGAGTGAACGTTTTCCTCTCATGGTTCCCTGGACATTTTCTTCCTTGGCTTGTCATGTTTCACCAGAGGGCACCATGTCTGCCACTAGGACCCACATCCCACTGTATCCTCAATACCTCAACACTCCTCGCCAGAACTGGGCAGGGTGACCTCTGACCCACTCTTCCCTCTCATCTTCCAGTTCTGCTGGGAATATTGTCCAGTTCCTGTTTTCAGCTCACTCTACCCCTCCCTATGGCCCTGACCATAACCAGGTTTACCTGGATTGTCACAGAAATGTAGCCCAAATCCCCAAGCTAATTCACAGCTCTTGCCAAGTTTCTTTTCTTTACAATCACCTGTAGGACACCTGCCTGACATGCTTCTAGAAGAACGATGAAATAAAAGCCCTGGGCTCAGAATGCAAGGAGCCCAGAAACACCCAGCATCTCCAGCATGTCCAGCACAGCTGTAGCCTTTGGGGTCATCAAATCTCAATCCATGAGCACAGTAGACACGGCACTTGTTTTGGAGCTGGTTGCCCCATCTCCACACAAAGCCAGGGTGGGGCCATCAAGTTGTGTGCTACCCAGTTTCCTTCCAGATGGTCACACAGTAGGATGACCTGCCCTGACAAATGAGAGAGAGGCACTGGGCAGCCTAAGAGCCAAGACTTGCATGGCTACATTCAGAAGAGGGTGTTGGGGAGACTTTGGAATAGCCCCTCAACAAACTGGTCCAGAACCCTGCTCACGTCACAGTCAGCCATCTTCAGAGGCTCAGGCCCTTGGCTCCCCACTTTTCTTACAGGGAAGTGCGGGAAGAGAGGCTACCAGCCCAAGTTTCTCCCAGATCAGAGCTCAAAGGGGTAGCAGAGGGATAAAGCAGCTAAGAGCTTTATTAGGTGAGGGTTAGGTCCTGGCTGCTCTAGAAAATGGGGAGGGGACCTCTAGGCCAACAGCTCAGGACTTGCCTAGGACAGACTTAGAGGAGGGAGGGGGCTTGGGCTTCACTGAGCTCAGGGCTATTCTTGGAGCCTGAGTCAGCGGCAAATAAAGGCAAAGGATTCCTGACTTGCCTGTCCAGACAGCAGTTAGAAACCAAATCCAAACACCATGCCCCAGGCTCTCTATAACTGTACACACTCAGAAGCAGCTTCCTCTGGGACACTAGCAGCCCCTCCTCGTCCATCCCAGCAGAGAACAGAGGCCACCAAAGGGTGGCTCTGTACAGTGTCTTCAGTGAGGGTTTCCCATATAAGCTCCCAGTTTCCACACTGGGACATCAACAGGGTACAGGCAGGGCCTGTAGTTTCCATAACTCCCACACCCCACTCCTGGGACAATCTGGCTAAGGAATGTCCCCCATGTAGCTGAGTGGAAACATCTGGGAGTACTCCCTGCAAGCATCAAAGGTTTCCGGCCTCTGTGTCGCAGCCTCCACACTTGCCCCTGGCTGAGGGACACATCAGAAGGCAGGATTCAGAGGATGTAGAACGTGAGGAAGTCTTTGCTACCCAGCGGATTCCATGCCAATACTCAAGAAAGGACAACACAGTTCTCAATAGGACTTTATTAGTGGTAATTGGCTGCATACGTCTGAGCAGCAGGAGTGGTATGTTTGTGGCAGAGGACCCCGAGTCCCTGGCCCCACCCTCTTGCCTGCCAGCACAGACTTCCTGCCTAGAAGCGCAGCCAGAACATGCCGCTACGGATCCGGTTGTAGTCTGGGAGCTGTTCAATGGGGCCTGTGGGGATAGGGTGGGGAGTCAGGGTGGGGTGCCTGGCCTGCACAGGGACACCTGGCCCTGTGCCACACCCAGCTCAGAGTGGCTGCCCAGAGCAGCACAAGACAAGCTTTGAGCAAAAGAGGGAAGAGCACATTCCCCGGGGTGCAGAGCCTGTCCTTTCACGCTCTGGCCCTGGGAGCCCCACCCCACATGCGGGGGTACCTGTTACCTGGTGGGCTGGGGGGTGGGTGGGGTATTAATGGAAGTAGCTTGGCAAGGAGTTGGGGAACTGTTGGGACAAGTTCTGAAAAAGAACTCCCTGGCAGTCAGGTTACTGGAGAGAACCTCAGCTTCCTTCTCAAAGGGGGGACAGGGAAGAGAGGCAGGAGGGAGGACAACGACAAAAGAGCAGACCTTCTAGACACTCACCATACCCAGCCACTGCGGGACACTGGTCGTAGAAGTACTTGGAGCAAACCTCACGCAGCATCTGGGCATCCACCTCCTGGAGGCAGAAACGGAGAGAACACTGAGTGACAGGTACCAGGCACCCACCAGTATTTTCTTGAGTCAACTCACACTTCCTACTGGTCCTTTGGACCTGTTCCTCTACCCAAAGGATGAATGTCCACAGCCACAGTCATCAGTACTCCTCTGGTTACCCCCACCCGTACAAGTAGCAGCTGCCTTGGATAACAGAGATGCTTAAGGGAGCAATTTTTGTTGGATCAGATCCCCACTCTGCAGAGGCCCATCAGCCTAAGGCTCCAGACCTCTTCCAGGGGTCTAATTACCGCAATCCGACTCTCCCACTCAGCCAGAGGGATGCGGCGGCCATAAGTCAGGAGGCTGCGCCCAATGTCTTCACACACAGGGGTGGTACCTTGAAGGGAAGGGGAAAAGCTTAGAGGTCTGCCTAGTCCAATCTTGGGCCCACAGAGGCCTCTAGGACCATGCTGACCCCATATTCGTAACAGCCTGTCACAACGGTAGTGGCTACTGACCTGGGCACCTCCACATGCACCTGAAACTCCAACGCCTGCATCTGGGGTGGCAGGGTAGGTGTGGCCTTACGTCTTTCCCTCCCTCTCCTTTTCTTTTGTTCTGAGACAAGGTCTCGCTATGTAGCTTAGCTGGCAGGCCAGACTGGCTTCTAACTAAAAAGACCTGCCTGTCTCTGCCTCCAGAGTGCCGGGATAAGGCTGTGCCACCTTGCCTAACTTTTATTCTTAAGATATGGTCTCATGTACTACAGTCTGGCCCCGAACTCACCGTGAAGTTAAGGGTAACCATGAACTCCTGTTCTTCCTGGCTCATCTCCCAAAAGCTGGGATTACAAGTGTGAAACACCACACACAGCCAAGGCTTTCCTTTCTAAACCTGGCCACTGTCATCACTACTGGGACATATTGTACCCCTCATTACAGGGATGAGGACTCACCATCCAGATGAGACACCAAGGCATTTCTGAGGATGTTTTTGCCCCGAGTCACCTCACTCTCTGTGGCACTGGTGCACAGACGCATCCTAAAGTGGGTGGGGGGTGGGAGTGTGTTTGAAGTGATACTCATTCTGGGAGACCGTGTGTTGTCTCTTACTCGCCTGGTCAAACACCCCTCGTTCATTCACATGGCAATACTGAGCTGACACTCACCACTGGCCTTGCAGGAAGAAAACCATGTCATCGATGCTCATGCCATCACAGACAAAGTGTGCACCCAGCAACCCAGTCTCAGAGTAGGAGATGTTGAAGGTTTGGAAACTCTGGCAAAGCTTGTTAGTCACAGCAACAGAAGCCAGAGGGCTGGACAGGTTCTGCCAAATGCAAGGATCATTAACAACCCTCTTATCTGTGGTCCACAGCCTAAGCTCCACAACCCAGCATCCTCTCCTCCCTGAAGGCAAGATGCCATGCCTGTTCCTGGCACTCACCGCTCCTCCACCATAAGTGCAGTCATAGTGGCCAATGAGGGCATTAGCCACTTGGAGGGCCACATTGTCTGGGTTAGCCCAGCCAGGTCCCTCTACAGCAATGGCCACATGGGCTAAAGGCAGGGCATCATCACGATGACGGATCTGAAACAATACATATCAAGGCTGACAAGAAACCAGACCTCCTGAGTGGGAGATGCCAGGCCCTTGCCAATTCCTGAAGAATCTGACACCACAAAGACAGACACGCACACAAGGATCCTCCCAGAGGTCCCCAGCTCAGAGCATCAACCCTGCCGCCAGGCACACCTCACTGCCAGTGAAGCGACACGGAGTTACACCAGGTACAGCATCCTCTTCATACACTCGAGAGACGCTGCTGAAGTGCTTCTGGGCGAGGTCTAGCAGCTGCCGGTGCTCCACCCCTGGGGGAACAGTGGTGTTAGCGGGAGCCCAGAGTGCAAGCACAGCTAAGAGCAATCAGACTTCCATGTCCTGTCTTCCTGCAGGTCAGGGATTGGTTAACACCCACATGGTGGTTTATAACCATCTACAACTTTAGTTCCAGTCTCACGCCCTCTCTGACCTCTGTGAACAACAGGCACTCATGGTGTGCAGACATTCATACACATTACTTCTTTAAACATTTATTTATTTTATGTGTATTGGTGCTTTGCTTACATGTATGTCTGTGTGAGGGTGTTAGAACTCGGAGTTACAGACAGTTGTGAGCTGCCATGAGGGTTCTGGGAAGAGCAGTCAGTGAGTGCTCTTAACCACTGAGCCATCTCTCCAGCCCCCACACTAAATGTTTCAAAAATTATATTAAAAACTTAGCCTGGCGTTGGTGGCGTACACCTTTAATCCCAGCACTTGGGAGGCAGAGGCAGGCAGATCTCTGTGAGTTCGAGACCAGCCTGGTCTACAGAGCTAGTTCCAGGGTAGCCTCCAAAACAATACAGAGAAACCCTGTCTCAAAAAACAAAACAAAAAACAAACAAAACAAAAAAAAACTTAGCAGACTGGAAGATATTTAAGTGCTTAGAGTTTTTGCCTAGCATGCATAATGCCTTAGGTTCAATCCCAGCAGTACAAATATAAGTAGGGCTGGAGAGATGGCTCAGTAGTTAAGAGTGCTTCCTGCTCTTCCAGAGGACCTGAGTTCAGTTCCCAGGACCAATGTCAGACAGCTCACAACTGCACATAACTTGCTCCAGGAGATCTAACACCCTCTTTGGCATACATACACAGACACACATACACACACAGTCACATCACTCACTCACTCACTCACTCTCTGGGCCAACCAGTAGCTCAGCAAGTAAAGGCAAGACTGATGACTGAGTGTGACCCTTGAGACCCACAATGGTAGGAGAGAACCGACTCATGCAAGTGATCCTTGGGTGTGAGTACATACACGTACATGCACACACACACACACAAATTCAATGAAAAATGTTCAGAAAAACAAACAGAAAGGGCAATGGTCTGTGTCTCTGGCATCATCTAGCCTGCATTGAGGGCACTGGTAGGCTCTGAGGACAAGGCTACGGGATGCTCTGTCCTTCTCTCCAGCTCTATCACAGACCCCACTGATGGCCCTGAAGGAGGTGGTCAAAAGAGGTGCTCCTGCAGGGCCACAATTTACCCTGGGAGCCTGGGGAGCTGAGGCCAAGTACAAGGAACATGACAAGCCCACGCCTTAGGTGGACTCTGTGCCAGACACAGATGCCTGGGGCACACCTTTACAGATGAGCACCATCACAGGACAGCCTGCCCCAAGCCTGCTAAGACTCAGAAAGTCTGATGGGTTAGTAACTGATGCTGCTTTTGGTTCCCAGGTTCCCTGTGCTGTTCTTTCTGGGACTTTTTCTCCCACCTTGGTGCAAGTTTTAAGCAGGTCTGCTTCCCTAGCCACAGCTAGACCTATATAGACCTACATCAGAAAACAATGTAGAATCCATCCACTTTTGACAACCAGTACCCTTCAGAAGTCTGTTGGAACAACATGTGCTCCCTGCCCACTTCTAACGCTAAGCTCCCATGAAAACCTCTGCTATAGTTCTGTGTCTCTATTTTAAGGTGGCCCCAGTCACCATCAAGTATATATTATCACAAAGCCATTGTCAGTGGCACTCATGGCAAGGCTGTAAGGAATACGCCCATGTCTTCCATTGGCCCCCAAACAGGGTATTTTAGGACTAGGTGATCCTAGCCTATCTCAAAGCATAGAAGAGTCACATACCTCAATGACAGGCCAGGAATAGAGTTCCCTGGAGCCCTCTAGGTGAGAACCAGAGGATGTAGGCATTGATAAGCAAGGTGGGCCCCCCTGTCCAGGGCTTCAGCAAACCCTCCACTCACCTCCAGCTGCAGCCAGCACCATTCGAGGAGCTTTGTAATGCCTGTTGAGGTAATCAGTCAAGTCTGCTCTCGACAGCCTCCTGCAAAACATGCAGCTGAGTCAACCCCCTCAATCCACAGCAAGCTGAGTCATACAAAAAGCAGCTGAGAAGACTTTGGAGAACAGGCTAAAGCACACCCCTCTCAATCCATTCTGTCACCTACTCCTTCAGGACCCACAGGCAGCATGTTGAAGAAGGTATGAGTTAATACTGGGCTCTGAAGGGGCACCCTTCCTACTGATGTAACACTCCTCATGGCATACTCCCAACAGAGGACAAAGTGGTATACAGAAGGGACCCCTGATGTTCCCTCCCCGACTGTCAGGACATGCATGGATGGATACCGTAAACACAGTTCAAGATTCAACTGAAGACCCAAGTCCAACAGGGTCATAGGACCAAATGGCCATATAAAAGTTGTATGAATTAGGAAAACAAACAGCACAGGCAGCTAGACAACCTAAATGGCATGTGACTGATGGGGACATGCTTTATTTCAATCTCAACCAGCTCCCTCTCACCTGACGTTCTCACTGGGCCCCTCCACAGCCTGGCCCAGAGGTGTGCCCTGGAATGCCGTAGCATGCAGGTAATCAAAGACCACATTCTGCATAGACGCATCATTTTCCTGCATCTCCCGCAGGATCACGTCTCGTTCCTTCTCAATCTGGGAGTCTTCCAGACTGCAGTTTTGCACAATATCTGCCAGGAGCTCCACAACTGGATATGGGAAGGATGTGTTAATTGAGCATGGTAGTGTGCACCCCTAATCCCAGTATTTGTAGGAGGAATTACTAAGAGTTCAAGGACATCCAGGCTACACAGTGGTTCAAAGCCAACTTGGGCTACATAATGGGACTTTATATAAAAAAAACTTAGACCTGGCTAGGCGGAAGTGGCGCACACCTTTTGATCCCAGCACTCAGGAGACAGAGGCAAAGGCAGGCGGATCTCTGTGAGTTCAAGACCAGCCTGGTCTACAAGAGCTGGTTCCAGGACAGCCTCCAAAGCGACAGAGAAACCCTGTCTTAAAAACTACCCCCAGCCGGGCGTTGGTGGCGCACACCTTTAGTCCCAGCACTTGGGAGGCAGAGGCAGGCGGATCTCTGTGAGTTCGAGGCCAGCCTGGTCTACAAGAGCTAGTTCCAGGACAGCCTCCAAAGCCACAGAGAAACCCTGTCTTGAAAACCAAAAAAAAAAAAAAAAAAAAAAAAACCACCCCCGGGGGGGGATGGGGGGAGGGCACGGGAGGAGGGGAGGGAAAGGGAGAGGGACCTCGTACTGACTTGTGAAGCAACCTTGTTTCTTATCTAAATTTAAAATGGAAAATAAAAAAATATTAATAAAAAAAAAAAAAAAAAAAAAAAAAAAAAAAAAAAAAACCACCCCCAAAAAAACGAACCAAAAAACTTAGACCTGACTCTGTGAATACGGGCATTTGCCACCAAGCATGATGACCTGAGTTTCAGTACCAGAACCCACATGACAGAAAGAGAGAATTGACTCTTGAAAGTTACTGTTGACTAAGCATACACCAACATATACACTAGGAAAAAAAAAGAGTTTAAAAATGACATTTCTGGCGCTGGGTGTTGGTGGCCCACGCCTTTAATTCTAGCACTTAGGAGGTAGAGGCAGGTGGATCTCTGTGAGTTCCAGGCCAGCCTGGTCTACACAGAGAGTTCCAGGACAGCCTCCAAAGCAATTCAGAGAAACCCTGTCTCGAAAAACCAAAAAAAAAAAAAAAAAAAAAAAAAAAATTCTGTGGCTGGGTGGTGGTGGTGGTGGTGGTGCAAGTCTTTAATCCCAGAACTTGGGAGGCAGAGGAAGATGGATCTATGTGCGTCAGGCCAGTCTGGTCTACAGAGTGAGTGCCAGGACAGGCTCCAAAGCTACACAGAGAAACCATGTCTCGAAAACAAGAACAAACAAAAAGATATTTCTCATTGTTGTACCATCCTATCAATTGCTTTTCAACAAGGCAACAGCCCCACGGATAAGTCCAGCTCTGAGGACAGTCCAGGAACTCTGGAGGCCTGATTTCTGCAGCCCTGGAGACCTACCCTGTTGTGCCCGCCTTCCTCAGGTGTTACCTTTTGGTAGGTCCTTGGAAAGTGCCTTGATGAGGTAAGCAGTATGCTCCCGAGTGCTGTAGGCATTAAGATGAGCCCCCATACTCTCTACCTCCTTCTCTAAGGCATTGCCAGGCCGATTCTTTGTTCCCTGAAATCAGACATCAAAAGGACCAATCAGGGGCTGAAGACATGGCTCAGAGGTTAACAGCACTTGCTGCTCTTACAGAGGATGCAGGTTCAATTCCAAGCACCCATATGGTGGCTTACAACCACCCATAACCCCAGTTCCAGGAGATGCAATAGGCAAATACATAGTATATATTAAAAAAGAAAACAAAAATCCAAACCAGGAGCCACAGAGTATAAGAATCTGCCTTCAAAGGCTGAAATTCCAGCACACACCTCCCTCAACAGTCTGTATTCACTATACTAAGTAGGCCCTCAGCTGAGCAGACAGCATCATGGGCCAAAGGATGGAGACAGTCAGGGGCAGAACAGCATGGCTGCAGCAAGTGCTGCCTAATAATTAAGAGTTTCCCTAACAGTCCAGCCTTCTGTCTGCTCTTGGCTGCGGATGTAAAGTGATTAGCTTTCCAAGTCCCTGCTATGATGGACTGCAACCTGGAAGGGGGACCTCAGGCAAAGACTCATCAGATAAACACTCAGGAAAAAAACAACCCCATATGGCTCCTTCCAGAAAGCGTAGCCATACATAATGCCCCAAAAGTTCCACAATCAGGAGACTAACTTTTTGGATTATGGTCTTTGAGACAGGTAGGCCTAACTGAGGGGAAACATGGGCTTCACAAGACTTACCTTGAAAGCCAGGTGTTCCAAAAAGTAGCCTGCGCCATTGTTCTTCTCAGTCTCGTAACGGCTGCCAGCATCAATCCACACTCCCACCTGCACACAAGAAACCACCAACAAAAGGAAGCAACAAATCAGTCACAAAACCACCTGAGTAAGCGGCACAGGTTTCACAAAGTCCTCATGGTGGCAATGTGGGAAGAGCTGCCCCACTAAGAGCCCTAAAGTCAGAGACAGGAGAGCCCACAGCACAGGGAAGAGTCCTCTTCTGCCTGAAACAGGGTTCCCCATAGGCCATCAAAGGCATCAAGGAACATTTTTGGTGTTCATCTTTGAGGCACTGTCATGCTTTGGCCCCTAATCTGGCCTTGAACTCACAGAAACCCATTCCCCCCTTCTCTCAACTGTGCCCATTTACCTGGCCCCACAACTATAATTTCTAGTTAATTGTTTTCTTCTATGCATGAATCCTATCATTTGTAGACAATAGCCTATTTTCTATATTCTAAGAATCACATGCAAGCTAGGTATGGTGTCATACACTTGCTATCCCAGCACTCTGGAAGGCAGAAGCAGGATTATAAATTCAAGGCTAGCCTGTGCAACACAGCAAGACCCTGTCTCAAAACAACAAAATACTATCCTTCGCCTTTGTTCTGATGATTTTATTTTTTCATCAGAAAAGTTACTTAGATACTTTGCACTTCATCATTTTAAAAAGATACTGAAGCAAGGTGCACGCTTTTAATCCCAGCAGAGGTAAGTTTGAGGCCAGTCTGATTTACATAGCAAGTTCCAGCCCAGCCAGGGTTACATAGTGAGATCTTGGTATAAAAAACAAAGAGAAGGTAACTTCCATAGTGAGACCCTATAATGGCTCAGTTAACTTTTCAACATGGAGTCTCAACATGTTGCTAGGCTGGTACTGAACTTCTGGATTAAAACAACCCTCATCTTTCAATCTCTCAAATATCTGGGACCATAAGCATACTGTGTCCGGCTTCATTATGACTTCATCCTATTTCAGTAGTGGAGATCAAACGCAAAGCCTCGTGAATGCTTAGTAATTACTTTATTACTGATGTACATCTCTAGACCTTAAACAAGTTTTGTTTTTTAATGATTTATTTTTATTTTATGTGGATTATGTGTTTTCCCAAATGTATGTCTGTGTGAGGGTGTTGGATTCCCCTGGAGCCAGAGTTACAGATAGTTGTGAGCCACTTGGAGTGGGTACTGGGAATAGAACTTTAGTCTTCTGCAAAAACAATGCAAGCTTTTAACCAGTGAGCCATCTCTCCAGCCAGCCCTCCCATGATGCCCCAGTATAACAATCTTAACATTCCTGTAATTTTTAAGATAGGGTCTCACTGTATACTCCTGGCTGGACTTGAACTGAAGAGATCTGCCTGCTTCTACCTACCAAGTGTGAATCTTATATTCTTTTTGTGGTTTTGTTTTTTTGAGAGAGAGTGTGCTGTAGGTCAGAATGGCCTTGAATTTATTCTGTAGTTGAAGATAGTCTTCAAATTCCAATCCTCCTGTCCCCACCTCCCAAGTACTAGGGTTACAGTCTGCCAGGGCTCTGTGACACACACTACTTACCCAAATGGTTGAGCTTTTTATTATTTGTTCATTGCTGCCTTAAGTTTTCCACATGCTTTGCAAACAGTTGATAATTACACTGTTGTGTAGTATAATTTTATTATTATTATTATTATTTTTTTTTTTGGTTTTTCGAGACAGGGTTTCTCTGTATTGTTTTGGAGGCTTTCCTGGAGCTCGCTTGGTAGTCCAGGCTGGTCTCGAACTCACAGAGATCCGCCTGCCTCTGCCTCCCGAGTGCTGGGATTAAAGGCGTGCGCCACCAACGCCCGGCTGTGTAGTATAATTTTAGATAAACGTGCATCTTACTTTTTTTTTGGTTTTTTGAGACAGGGTTTCTCTGTATTGTTTTAGAGACTGCCCTGGAACTCTCTCTGTAGACCAGGCTGGCCTCGAACTCACAGAGATCCTCCTGCCTCTGTCTCCAGTGTTAGACATTTTACTTTTTGTGAGATGTGCACCTGTGTGTAGGTGCAGGTGCCTGTGTGCACATGGGAGCCGAAGGTAGACACCATGTTCATCACAGCTGGAGCTGCAGGTTTTGAAGGACTCCTAGCTTGTTATCTGGGCACTAGGATAAATACTCCTCTTCTTGTGGTTGCACAATGACTTTACCCACGGAGCCATCTCTGCAGGCCCAAGCATTCACCTTAAATCTACCATCTTAGATTACAATTCACAGAATTCTTTCTTTGGAACTCCTCACAATCACAGTGTCTTAGTCAGTGGAATGCAGCATGATTTACTAAGCTTTCTTAGAGTCTGTTTATACAGTTTCCATGTATCAAGGAAATCACCTACCACCATGTCCTGTGCTTGGTAACAATTTATATCAAAGGACATTATTTGTTCCTACAAAACTGAATCAGCCATCAAAAGCACATAGTCCTAGACAGGGTGGTTGTGGTGCATGCCTTTAGTCCGGAAGCAGAGACAGGCAGATTTCTATGGGTTGGAGGTCAGCCTGATCAACAAAAGTGAGTTTCAGGACAGCCAGGACTGTTACACAGAGAAACCCTGTCTCGAAAAGTCGAAAGGAAGGAAGGAAGGAAGGAAGGAAGGAAGGAAGGAAGGAAGGAAGGAAGGAAGGAAGGAAGGAAGGAAGGAAGGATGGATGTGTAGAGGTTAAGAGCACTGACTGCTCTTCCACAGGACCCAGGTTCAATTTCCAGCACCCACATGGTGGCTCTCAACCACCTGTAACTCCAGTTCCAGGGGATCTGAAGTCTCTTTGGGCCTCCATGGGCATCATGCACACATGGTACACAAACATACATATGGGTAAACCACTCATACACATAAAATAAAAGGGGCTGGGCGTTGGTGGTGCACGCCTTTAATCCCAGCACTCGGGAGGCAGAGGCAGCGGATCTCTGCTGGTTCGAGGCCAGCCTGGTCTACAGATCGAGTTCCAGGACAGCCTCCAAAACAATACAGAGAAACCCTGTCTTGAAAAAACCAACAAACAAAAAGTAAGACTAGCTAGAGACACTAGTCTTCACCCTCCTCAGTACTGGTGTTAGACCCAAATCACCACACAGGGGATCCAAATACAGGTGGTCATGCTTGAGAAGCAAGCCCATTACCCATCGGGCCATCTATCTTCCCAGCCCTTCAGAGACAATTCTTGAGGTGCATCCATGGTCTAGCCTACACATTATAAAATCTAGGTGGTGAGCCTGACAGTTCTGGGTGCCTTTCTGTAAATCACCCGAAGTCTTGAAATCTCATTTTATTTTTCATTGTAAGACAATAATCACTTCCCTCTTGCGGCTGGAACGCAAAGCTGGAAAAGAGTTGGGCCCTGACTTGGCGAGCATCGTAATGTGGGCTGGCGGGCTGAAGTCAGGTACAGGGTCAAATCCGGCAGTATGCCCGTCTCCACCCAAAACAGACAGAAGACTGGAGCCCAAGGTCATATCCCGACCTGGGAAACACGGCGGGCTCCCGCCTGGAGGCTGGCGACCACTCACCGTGCAGGTGGGGTGGGAGGACTGCTCCGAGGCCACACGCAGCCCGTTGTCCAACACGCTGACCTGGGTCTCCGGCACGCTCTGGAGGGCCTGGGCGAAGGTGGCGGTACCCCGCAAGGCAGGTGACCTCAGCAGGGCCGGCTAGAGGAAGAAGACGACCACTGTAGGAACTGCTCTCCAGGCCTCTGGCCGTGGGACCCCGGCTCTCACGCCCACGCCAGATGCCCATCCCCGATGCCCATCCCCGCCCTCGCCGTGACCTTCCCACGGCCCTGACCCCGCGACCTCCGCACTCCGACCCGCCACTGCCGACAGCCCACTCTTCATCTGCGTGCGGGAGCCCTGAGCCCCGCAGCCCAGCGTTCTCGCCGCCACCTCACCGTGCGGCGGGTGCGAAGCAGCGCTTGTGTCCCGGAGCAGGCAGCCCGACAGACTGCGGACGCCGCCATCTTCCAGTCCCCGTCAACGGAAAGCCGCGCCACGCATGCGCAGAAACGAGAAGGCGGAGTCTGACGCGCAGGCGCTGTACGGAAGACGTGGCACTCGGTCGCCCCCTGCCGGGCACAAGGTCCATTCTCGAGAATGAGTGCTTGTGTTTTCCTTTGGTCCAGAAGCCTCCGGTAGTCGACGTGCACCTGACTGTCCATCCGTCTGCCGCTGGCCCTCGGGCCGTCCCAGTCCTCGCCTTCTCCACCTGAGGGAGGCGCTGTGCGCCGTTTTTCCAACTGCGGGAGCAGCTGCAGCAGCCCGCCAGGGACTGAAACACCCACCTGCCAGTGCTTCCCTGGCAAGGTAGTCACTGAAGTTAGTTGAAAAGAATAAAATATGTTTAAATGGTTAATATTATATTGCCAAAGTAGTACTGAAAGTCAGCACTTGGGAAATGGAAGCAGGGAAGTATCAGGAATTCAACGACATCCTCTCCTGCACAAAGAATTAGAAATTAGCCTGGATTGTGTAAGACAGTGTCTACAAAGTGAAAAAAAAAAAAAGAAAGTGTGTGTATGAAAAACAGAACAATGTAGAGGCTAATTTGAGAAATAGAATTCTACGTTTGGAAAACAACAACAAAAAACTAACCATTTTTTAATGAATATGTGTTTTTCTATATGTGTAATCTTTTCAAAACTTTTTTTAAAAAAACATCTGAAATTAGAGAAAAGATGGTGTGTATTGATTGAGATTTTGTGTACCAAAATTATAATTTAGAGAGGAAAATTGAGCAAAACAGAATATTCTGAGTTGCTGGATGTGGTGGTAAATACCTTTGATCCCAGTACTCAAGAGAGGGGCAAATAGGTCTCTTGCAATCCAGACTAGCCTGGTATACTTAGTGAGCCAGGGCTATATAGTGAGAGTGTCTCTCAAAAAACAAACAAACAAAACAAGCCAAGTTACCTGCTTTCTTTGAGAGTCAGGGTCTCATGTAGGCCAATCTGGCCTCAAATGCACTTTGTAGTCAAGGATGACCCCGAACTTCTGATCCCCCTACCTCCCCCTCCCAAGTACTAAGACTTCTGTGGTGCTAAGAAATACAGCCAGTGTTTCATGAATGCTAGGCAAATAGTACCAACTGAACTACATCCTCAGTCCTCTGCCAGCTTTTTGCTTGTGTTAATTTTTAATTTAAAATTATTTTTATTATCTATTATTTGACCATGTATACATGATATGTGAGTGGTGGGGTGTGTCCCCACATGTGCTCAAAGGTGAGAGGACAATTGTGGGGAGTCATTTCTCTCCTTGTACCTTTACATAGATTCCAGGAATCAAATTCAGGTCACCAGGCTTGTACAGAAAGTGCCTCTATCTGCTGAGGCATTTTTAGAGCCCCTTTATATTCACAGAAGTGTTGAGAGGATTAGAGATTCCCCCCCAAGCACAGGGGATCAGTTCCTCCTTACATCCTACATTAGTATAGCTCATCTTTGACTACTAATGGGCCATTTTTGGTTCATTATTAACTAAGGTTCATAGTTTGCACAGATTTCCGTGAGTTGTTTGTGACTCCTGTGTTTTGTTTTTAACATTCCCAGACTTTAATTTGTCCATTAATAAGAGTTTCAGTTTCATGCTACAATGAAAAAGGAGTGTGCCTTTTGGAAGCCTGTGCAGTGCTACCAAAAACAATCACTAACTTGATCTTCCTGCACAGGTCTTCATAAGATCTTAAACCCTAGGGCCATGTCCTTCTGTTGAAGCAAACGGGTTAAGTAACTATCTGCGTAGTTGGGAAACATTTTGGGTTGCCTTTTCCTGTCATCCAAAATTAGTTCAACGGGCGGTGGTGGCGCACGCCTTTAATCCCAGCACTAGGGAGGCAGAGGCAGGCGGATCTCTGTGAGTTCGAGGCCAGGCTGGACCAAAATTAGTTCAAAGTCACTGGCGATCAGGTGTAGTGACTAAGTGCAGTATGTTGACTGTAATGTAAACGATACTCCATAATATTCTTTATTGCTAGGAAAGGACGGGTTATGAGGATGAGTACGAAGACATTAGGATAGTGTTTCATGAAGTAGACATTTAATTGAAAAACAGGTCTGAAGCCCTGAAAGGCAAACCAGTTGCCTCGTCCCCCTCAGCTCTGCGTGTCTCACAGTGCTGCGCCCACTCGCTTCACGTTGCGGCTGACAGCCTGCCAGAAGTTGCAGCATCCAAATGACAGGTACAGCTCATATGTCAGTATAAATGAAAGACTTTAGAAGATCATTTTCCACTAGAATGACTCTTTGTAGTGGTTTAAAATCTGAATATTTGACAATTCTTGTATCATTACAACATTAGGACTCATGGGTGTTGCTTTTTTACAGTTTTTTTGTTTTGTTTTGTTTTGTTTTTAATGTCTGCATGTACAGGCCAGCAGATGACTTTGAATCCCCTGGAACTGGAGTTGTAGACATTTGTGAGCTGCCCTGTGGGTGCTGGGAACTGAACCTGGGTTTTCTACCAGAGCTGCAAATGCTCTTAACCACTGAGCCATCTCTCCAGACTCTTGTGGGTTTTTAAAGATCTACCTTTAACTTTATGGGTATTGAATGTTTGCTGCATGTGTGCATGTATCATGTGTGTGGCTGGTGCTCTCAGAGGCTAGAACTCTGGAACTTGAGTTATAGATGGTTGCCAGCTGTCTGTGGGCGCTGGGAATTGGACCCAGGCTCTCTGCAAGAGCATCAAGTGTTCTTAACTGCTGATCCATCTCTCCAGGCCCAGCTTTGTTTTGTGTTTTGAATGAATTACTGGGCCAGTGAGGTGGGTAAGGGTGCTGCTACTAACCCTGACCACCCAAATTCAAACTCTAGAACCCACATTGGTGGAAGGAGAGAACGGATTCCACAAAGTTGTTCTCAGACCTCCACATGCACACAAATTCTTAAGTGTACAGACAATAAATAAACAAAAATTTAAAACATAATTATTTGCCAGGCTGGGACATGGTTTAATAATAGCTTATACAAGGTCCTATGTTCATTCCCCAGCATCACATAAGAAAACTGTTTTTGTTTTATTTTGTTTTTTGTTTGTTTAAGTCAGTGTCTCAGCAGGGCATAATGGCACACACCTTTAATCTGGGCATTTAAGAGACAGAAGCAGGTTGATCTCTGTGTATTCAAGGCCAGCCTGGTCTACACAGTGAGTTCCAGCACACCGAGAGCTACATAGTGAGACCCTGTCTCAGAGAGGGGTGGGTAGGAGGGAAAGAGAGTATCACTCTGTAGCTCTTGCTTGCCTGGAACTCGCTGTATAGACCAGGCTTGTCTCAAACTCACGGAGATTCAGCTGACTTTGCTTCTTGAGTGCTGGGATTAAAAGTCTGGGCCACTATGCCTGGCTAAGAAAACCTCTTTTAAAGTAAGCAATAATTATAATCATTTGTCATTATGTAAGAACAAACATTCCTTTATGTTCATTATTTTTTCCCATCTGGTTTCCCACCCTGGCGTGTTCATTACCTTGTATCTGGATGGTGTGTTGAAAGAATAAAAGTTTGGAAACAAACTCTTGGCCTAGGGCTGTCTCCTTCATTCAGACCTCTTTGCCCTGAGAACGGAGTGAAGGATGAAGCCAAGGCATAGGCTGAGGAACAAAAACAGAGAGATGAGGCAGAGGCCCAGATGAGACGGCTTGTCCCCCAGATGCCTCAGGACAAACCCAGGGAATGCTGGCGCCTGGGGTGCTGGCAAAAGTTGTCTCAGTGGATCTGGGACTTGTACCACCTCCTCACTGCCAATGTGTGAGAACCCTGCCTTGCTTGAGAGTTAAAAAATTCCTTTTGGTCCTCTACCCTAGAACTGCTGCATTCTGGACTGGTCCAGTTCTAATTTGTGGCCAAGTGTGACATGAAACAAATCATCTATTTTGCTGTCTCAGCTGAAAAATTAAAAAAGAAAAACAACAGATAGATTTCTTTTTGTTTGTTTGTTTTTCAAGGCTGGGTTTCTCTGTGGCTTTGGAGGCTGTCCTGGAACTAACTCACAGAGATCCACCTGCCTCTGCCTCCCGAGTGCTGGGATTGAAGGCCTGCGCCACCACCACCCGGCTAACAAATGCATTTCTTGAGTGACCAGTATGTGGACTATCATCATGATGATAAGAGCTTTCCAGAAACATGAAAATAGAACATTACTCAGATCCCAGTGACGGAGAAACATCTGAAGTGGTAAACATCAGACTCCTGGGAGGACAATGAAATGCCCAAGTCCAGAGGGTGCCAGCAGGCTCCCTCAGAGGTGGAATATGAACTTGGCTATGAGAATGAACCAGTAGCAAATTGGTCATGCCTCAAGTTGTCTTCGGAGAAAACTGACTTCAGTGAGACTCACCTTCCCAGACATCCCCTTTCGTCTCTTCCAAGGATACTGGGCTGTCAGCCTGCAAGGGGATTCCTACCTCCTGCCCCTGTCTGCTGGGGTCACAGGTGGCCCTCCAGGCCCTGCCCCTGTCTGCTGGGGTCACAGGTGGCCCTCCAGGCCCTGCCCCTGTCTGCTGGGGTCACAAGTGGCTCTCCAAGTCCACCCAGGTGTACTCAGATACTAGGAAGCCAAACTCTGACCAGAACTCCTGTTCCAGGAACTGTTTTACTTGTAACAAGGCAGGGAGGCTATAGTACAAGTTCCATATCAACTTGTTCTAGAGACAACTTTTCTCAGCATTTCAGCACCCCTTGTTTCTGCCCTAAAGCATCTTGGGTGACAAGCCAGGTTGCTTGGGGCTGCCCTGTCTCTCTTGTTGTGTGCCTCTTTTTTCTCTACCCCCCCCATCTGTTTTCTTTCCTATACTTTGGTTTAGTTCATTTTTAATTTATTTTCAATTACCTGTATGCATATTATATGTAGGTTTGTGCACATGAGTGCAGGTGCCCTTGGGATAATGGAGCCCCAGATGTTGTAGTTAGCAGTTGTGAACCACCCGATATGGGTTCCAGGGACCAAACTCAGGTCCTTTGTAAGAGTAGTACACACACACACACACACACACACACACACACACACACACACACACACACACGTTTCACAGAAGACCTTTGTTCTTCTTGTT